TCTATTTTATTTTACTTCAATTATTAAACTGTTCTTATCTCAACCCACGAGTTTTCTGACTTTCACCCTTCCAATTCTCTCCCCCATCCCACCAGGATGGGGGGAGTGAGCGAGCGAGCAGCTGTGTGGTGCTTAGTTGCTGGCTGAGGCTAAACCACAAAAGTCCTTTTTGGCGCCCAACGTGGGGCTCGAAGGGTTTGAGATAATAACAGATTAACCAGAGTGTATTAAGGAATTTGTATCTGTTAACAGTTGCTGGTCACAATATTGATTCATCTGCTCTCGGTATCAGTCTACTTGATCTGCACCATGCTCTTGTTTTTGCTGTTAAAGATTGGTGTTGGGTGTTGCAGTTTGCTGTGCTCTACAGTGATTATTGATGTTTTGCCTGGGAGATTTGTTATTAAAGCACTGACCTTGAGCGTTATCTGGCATTTGGGTTCTGTAGTGAAGCCATTACTGTACTTCGGGTACCACCTCATGGAGACAATTAGCAATTATACCTCTTCCTCTGAGAGGTTTTTTATGGAGGCAATACAGAATGGCACCTTCGCTGTCTTCTTCTATGATGTTTCCTCCCTCATTACAACAACTTTTCAGTATCTTGAACATCCTTGGGTAGTTAAGATATATCTATTGGTAGTTCTTGGGAATATTGTTTCGGTTTTGTCTAAGGTTTTGCACAGGTCACAGTTGTCTGGGCAGGTGACACCAGGCCCTCTGCACTGCTGCAAGGAGCTGGGGAGTGCAAACACCTTGTGGTGCTGCACCACACCTTGCTTCCTGGGGTTACAGGCATCCCTGGTCACTGCCAGCCTTGGAGGGTGACCAAGCTCCTCTACCCTGCAGCAAAGTGCAGACAGCTATGTCCCTCAGCTGTCACAGGACTGATCAGTGCGGGGTGGGCTGGTGATGGGGTAGCTGCAAAAACAGTGATGGCTTCATCAAATACAGCCAAAGTCATTCCCAACCCCTCGGGAACAGGCATCTTCAGCATTTGCATCACAGCATCCTGAAGCCAGGTGAAGACCCCCGTCCTGCCCCGCTTGCTGGCTGGTGCTGGTCCTGGGGGTGAGGGAGGGACCCAGGCATGCAGAAGGGTTGCCCTCCGCCTATCTGCTGTTTCTCACCTCCTTTGTTTTCCGTGGGAAGGAGGCAAAGGGCTCCTGGAGCTTGTGCCTGCATGTGCAGTCAGGGAAGTGTTGCGAGGGCATCACTGGCAGGCACCATCCTGCCCCGCTCTGCCAGGGTGGTCCCGCAGCCTGCGCACCCTCCAGGGAGGCTGGGTGAAGGTGCAGCTGACCCAGGGAGAGCAACTTCAGCCTGCGTGGTGCATTCCTCCTCCAGTGCACGGTGGGAACAGCATCCTTGACTGCTGCTTGTGGATGAGCGAGAGGCCCACCCAGCGGCGGATAGTGCAGGATTACCGGCTCCCGCCGCCGCCGGATGGCTGCGACATCCCAGCTGCCGTGTAAGAGCCCCAGGCTGGTGATGGCTGAGGGACAAGAGCCCCAGGTCGGCGATGGCAGAGGTATGGAGGCAGGGAAGGAGGCAGAGCAGTGTGGAGGAGGGAGGTTGAGCTGGGTTTGGGAGAAAGGGATTAGGGAGGAATATGGAAGAGATCCTGGAGATCAGAGGCTCAATCAGAGCAGGGCAGACCTGCTGGGAGGGGAAAACATGGGACAAAAGACAGGGAAGAGAATCATCCCAAGGTAGAGGTAGAGGAGGGCAGTGAGGGAGGCAGTGGGTGAGAGCTCGGGCTGTGCTGGAGCATCCCCGGGGTGTCCGGCTCATCTCTTCTTGTTTTTTTTTCCCCATGGGCCTGGCAGGTTCATAACCACAAAGGGCAAGCGCCTCTGTGCCCCCCCTCCAGACCCGTGGGTAGTTCGCCTCCAAGAGAAGCTGGACACCAGCTCTGCCAGGAAGGTAAGAGCTGGCCCTGTGCTCAGCGCAGCTACCAGGAACGGGATCAGCCTGGGGGTGGGTTTATTCACCACCAAACAGGCTTTTCCAAGTCTGACTGGGCTGCTGGGAAGAGCTGAGACATGCTCTATTGAGGCATGGATACTTTGTCTCGGTCTCCATCCCTCCTCCCTCCAACTGGGACCAGTCTGTCTCCTCTGCAATCCCTCTTCCACCCCAAATAAATGTGGCCCTGGGGCTGTTGCACCCAGTCACCACCTTCTGCCAGGCTGGAAAAGCCACTGCACCCAGTGCCACCCTGAGCTGAGCTGGATGGGTGCCACAGCAAACGGCACCAGGAGCAAACCCCTCCCCACTTCTGCCCTGCAAGCTTGTCATTTGCAACTTGTGCATCTTCACAGGAAGGGCTTGTGATGAGTGTGGTGGGTGCTTTGCAAGCCCTGCCAGGTCCCCACTTCACTGCCACAGCTCGGCCAGGGGAGGTCGCCCCTTGGTGACTGCCCTGACCATGGGGAAGAGACCCTGGGGAGGTTCCTGCCCTGAGGATCACACTCATCACAGCTGGGTTTTCACTTCCCCGGGCCAAACTCCAAGGCGAGTAGGCTCCAAAGTAGTCTGTGGCCAGCCCTGGCGCCTGGAGCAGGGATGTCTCCCAGCTGTGAATCTGAAGCTCATGGAGTCAACCTGCTTCCACCTCCAGCTGCGGGGCTGACCATCCTCAGGACTCGTGCCAGTGCATGGGGATGGGCAAAGCCCTGCCTGCTCTCTCCCCTCTGTCTTCGGTGTCACCAAGCAACCTGCATCAGGCTGAGCCGGCAGCTGCTGGACTGGAGCCTCCTCCCGATGGGTGCTTGGAGTCTCACCTCTGCCGCCTTTGCAGCCTGGCTGGAAGCTGGTTGATGGACTGTTCTGCGAGATGAGTTTGGGGGGGGGGGTCTCGGCCTTCCCTTCAGCACAGCAGCCATGACTTCCAGCACTGGTATGTTCCCTTTGCTTTCCATCATCAGGCCCGAGCCTGGACCTTTCTGCATCCCTGGGAAGGGCTGCCAGGATGGGACAGTGTGGGGATGGAGGGGAGAGATGGAGATGTACCTCGTCGGCTGTGCACTGTGCTGCTCCCTCGCTGAGCACAACCTAGATGCCCTCGGGGCAGAGCATGGCTGATGCGCTTCCTCTCTCAAGCCCTGACTTCCCTGCACCGTTTCCCCTCCTGCCCTTCCTTGCACAGGTGGAAATAGAGCCAGTAATGCCAGTGCTGGTGTCCATGGCACCAGTGGATGCTGCAGTGTAATGCTGGTGTCCGCTTGGCCATGGCCTTGACCACATGATGCAAATGGCTGATGGGCACCAGCGTGGTGTTAGTGACTCCCCGGGGGCAGTGGTTCAGAAATAGGCCAGTTATTGATGCTCAGCTTCCCCTTCCCAAAGCTCCTCGGGCCCAGCCAGCAACAGTTGGCCACGGCAGTGGCAGAGCAGGCAGTGATGTTGCCCTCGGCCCCTGCTCTCCTCAGGGACATTGCCCCCCTTCTCAGTCCCTGAGCCTGTCACTGTGTTCAAAGGCTGCCCCATGCTCCTGCCTGGGCAGGGATGCACGAGCAGCATTCGCACTGTGCTCAGGTATTTGCTGCTAGATCTGTTCGATGCAACAATTATGAGTGTGTTTCTTCTTTTCTCTCTTTTTTATTTTGCTGTGATTTTTGTTAAATAAAAAGAAAAGCCAGCGGGTGGTTGGCCTGCCTCGTATTTGAGCCCAAAGCCCAACATGGAGCATGGGGATGAGGCAGCACCTCACCGGCAGGCGTGCAGCCAGTGCTGCCTGCTATGCCGCAGCGGCAAGGGGGCTGTGCTGGGGTGCAAGGGGGGGGAAAGGGGCTTTCAAAGAGGTGAAGAACACTTTCTACTGCAGCTGGACTGCAGGTCTCTCCTGGAAGTCTCTCAGCACCGTGGCGAGGTGGGTGCCCTGCTCTGCGCTGCTCAGCCAGGCTGCCGGAGCAGGTCCCCAGGGTGTTGTATTGCAGAGATGGGGTGGGAGGAAGCATGTGAGTATTGCACCATCGGGCCCAAACCACTTCAGTCCCACCAGCGTGGCTGCCGGGCTGGAGCTCCCCAGCTCTCAGCTCCCATGAGAGCATGGGGGATGGTTGAAGAGCTGTGGGAGCGGGAGCTTTGTCCTTGTGGTGAAGGGAAACTGAGGCATAGTGTGGCTGATTGGGTCCACAGATTGCCCTGGCAGCTCAGTGCTAGCTTTTGGGGAAATGGAGGCAGGTGAAGATGCCTGCTCCTGGGCACATCCATGGACAAGTCATGGAGGACAGCCCACCAGCTCCTTCCCCTCATCGCCAATGAGCTGAGAGTCCCTGGCCATTTTGCTCCTGAGCCCTGGCTCTCCTGGGTCTGTGTACTGGGACTACAGTCTTGCTGTCCCCAAAGTGGACTTATGTCCCCTTGGGCACTACCCTTTCACCCAACTGCTCCATTTGGCTGAAGCATGGGCTGAACATGCTCAAGCAGGATTTGCATGGCCAACAGCTGGGCACCATGCTCTCCTCCCCAAAGACCGCAGTGTCGAATGTGACTGTTCACATGGGTAAATTATTTATGCTGTCCCCAGCCCAGTTTTGGTGCCAGTCAGCAAGCCTGGGTGCAGGCTGGGAGTAAGATGGCCCAGGGACCATTCCCAAAGGCAGGAGGGACATGGTCACCAGCCCCTGTGGGGGATGGCATCCACGGTGGTGCAGTGGCTGGGCTGTCCAAGCCAGGGGATGCCCAGGCACCTGATGGCTTTTGCTGAGACCTGTTGAATTCAAGCTTAGCCCTGGACCTTTTCCTCCCCTGGTCTGCTGGCTCCCTTGGTTGGTGGCCAGGGTTTCTTTTTCAGGTGTTCCCTCCTCCAGCGTCCTCCTCCCTGGTATCATCTGTGCACATGCAATGCCCTGGTCTCAGCTGTCTCTTGGCGTGACTTTCCCAGAGCCCTTGTACCAGCTCTGTCCCAGCTCATTAGCTATAGTGACAGCCCCAGCAATACAATCCTGAGGAGGAGGAGGAAGAGGAGGAGGGCTGGTATGGGAAGAGAGGCCAAGACAAACAGTGTGAGTGGGAAAGAAGGATAACTGGTGCTTGCTTTGGCAGAAGCCTTCCTGCTGCTTGCTCGGTGACCTGTGAGGGGCCGCGGCTGGGGAGGGAGAGGATGCTAGGCATGGATCTCCACCTGGGCTGAACTGCTGCAGCTGGTGCAGGTCCCTGTGCAGGGCAGGGGCTGCAGGAGGGACTTAGCCTGAGGCAGATCAGGTTCATCCTTGGCCAGAGACTACCCTGACAAAGAGCATCGTTCCCTGGCCCAGTTCCCTGGGAAGCTGGGGGAGAAGGGGTTTGTACTGGTATCTCTTGGATGTTGGAAGCAGATTTATCTGTTTCCATCAGGGTTTGAGGGACTGCTTGGTGGCTGCAAAGCCTGTGGGTCCCAGCTCTTCTGGGAGCAGTAAACGTGCCCTCCTCAGAACAATGCAGCCGTTCATCACAAATCCCTGCCAGGTCTTTGTCTTTCATGGCTCTCAAGGGGGTGGTGAGCCAGGCCCCAGCTCTGTCAGAGTGAAGGACAGAAGATGCTGTCCTGGGCCAAGCCAGGGCTGGGGCAGGTACATGATCCTGGCTGGCTGTCTCTCCTTCAGCTCTGGAGCAGCTGTCCCTAGCAAAATAGCATGGCTGCATGGCAAAACAGAGCCAGGTCTGTAGAAGATTGAGGTGAGGTGGCACCACCTGTCTCAGACTGCAGGGATGGGGCTTGGAGGGGACTAATGAAGATCTGGGAGCTCCCTTAGCTCTACTTGGGAGTAGATGGGAGGGACAACCATGGGGCGAAAACCAGGGAAGGGCAGCAGCAAGAAGAGAAGATTTTGGAGCTTCTCATGAATTTGGGAAATTGATGTGCAGCCCGAGGCTGGCTGGGATGCATTAAACCCATAAGTGTGCAAAAGCCTTCCTTATCTGGGGTGGAAAGGAAGAGCCAGAAGATTGCTTGCAGCAAGGCAAACTTGGAAGCTCTTCCTGTGATCCTTGTTTAGCTCTATCAAGTGCAAACCTCTAATCCTGGGGTCTCCCTTTCCCTCTGTCTGTTTGGCCCCATGCTGCCCGGTTGCTGCCCAGTTTCCTTGAACCCCTCTGCCCCAGGCTTTACCTGAGTGGTGGCTCTTCTGTGCTTGTCCAGAGGAATTTGACAGCTGTGTTGTGTCACTACAGATGTGCCAGGTGTGGTACGGCTGCTTGGCTTGGGAGCTTCACCCACTCTTCCACAAACACATCTCACTCTTCTCCACTTTCCCACAGAAAGCAAGATTTTCTTTCTTGCGAATGTTTTGGCTGGGAAAACCCCACCTCTGCTGGGCTGTGCGCTGACTGTCCCCACACTGAAAGCACACAGCTGTATTTACATGCACATTCCTTAATCTTGTTTAAATTATCAAGCCATGACTTTCTACTGTCTCTAGGGGTACAATACTCCAGAAAACCAGCATTTAGTGAGTCTTGTGAGCCGCTGAGGTGGTCTTTGGTGAAGAAATCAAGTGTTTTCCTTGAAAGACCCTGCAACTTGTAGTTTCCTACCTTTTATTTAGTTGACATGGCTTTTGGAAAGGCACCAGTCAGCATTTACAGTGATGGATGACAGTTACTGTATTGCAAAGAACAAAAGCAGAAGTGTCCTGGATACGCTACGGCTACAGATTCACCCTCTTCTCACAGTGCTTGGTTTCATTTCCCGGCTACTGCGCAATGCTCCAGCATCCTTCTCTGCCCCTGCCAAGGCCAGCTACCCCAGGGAATTCCTGCAAGGGTTTCATTGCCTGCCTGGGCTGAAATCCCAGGTTGATCCCTGCTGTTTCCTAAGGCTGTGTCTGTGCTGTGCAATGGCTCTTTGCTGAGCCTGTGGGATTTGGTTGGCCTGGGCAGGGCAGCAGGTCCTGGAGATGCTGGCACTCAGCTCTGCACTTCTCACTTGGGGTAGGGAG